GGCCAGGACCCTGAGTCTCCTCGGTTGCTCCTGCAGCAGCCGCTGAACGACTCCGCATCCACGGTGGACTTTCAGGAATCCGTCAGCGTTGAGTTCATGTCCTTTGGGGTCGCTCCCTTGCCCGAAGCTGATCCTTTTGACCGTTCGGTTTTCCCAGGTTCCACTTAGCCATGTAGTCAAGGTCCCAGAAGGCGAAGCTGTCATTCCGCATGTTTATTTTTCTGGCGAGTGAAGCCGATTTGGTGGGCAACCATACATTGTATCCTTTCTTTGATGGGACCCCCCTATTGTGGCGGGCCTACCTTTGCTTCCCAACCTGATCAAGCAGAATCGCCTTATTGCCACGTCAGGCGGCACGGCCCAAGCGTTGGACGGGGGGCCAGGCGTCAATCCATTGTCTCGGCATGATTTGTGTTGTGCTGACGAGCCTTGCATGTTTGTGCAGCCACAGCGCTTTGAGCCAGCACGTATTGCGTTGCTGGTGACTCATTTCCATCAGCGGTGGCATAAGACAGTCTTGAATCTTGCATATACGACTCTTAGGATTGGGATATGTTCTGCCAATTCAGCTGAGAGCAACACTGAATCTCACTTGGCTCGTAGTGGCAATTCAGGATTGATGAAACCCGGGTTGATTTGCAGGGGGTGTTCCATCATAATTACAGGGAATCCTTCACTTTTGGTGGAGAAACAAATCAACTGAGACATTTAGCGAGCCAGCCTTTTGCAGGGGTGGCTCGCAGGCCCCGCGTACTTTGGATCTTAAACCTTTGACCTTTCGGGGAGCTGTGTATTTTCCCACGGGGCCAAAGCCACCAAGCATACGATGTCAAGGGCTTGACTTTGCTAGGATGCAAGACAGGCAACGCCAGTTTGAATCGAGCCAGGACTGAGCACGGGCAGAGCGCGCATTTTAGGCGCGCGATCTCGATCCACCGCGCTGGTTTTTGTTTTTGCCAGGCGCCAAGTCCACCTCTCCGAATTCGCTCAAGCTAGTTCCGGAAGGATGGTGAGGAGATACAACCCTTCAGGCGACCTGACCCATGAAGTTCCCTTTCGTTCGGTTCATGTCTAACTTCTGAGCACTTACGCTTCTCGGAGCAACCAGAAACATGTACATGTGCAGCACATCGACCAAATGCATGCCCGAGCACCCCAGAGGCCCAGAGGTTCCGGCGCCTCCGCGAGCCTCTCGGACCCTTGTTTTTTACCCGTGATTCGTGGTTGGCAAACCAGAACCGCACCCTAGTTGGTTTGTGCTTGCCAAATCGGAAAGCCCGTTTACAAACCATGGGCAAACTGGAGAGTCATCCCTGCCCACCCATTGCCTTGACCCGGGCCAGAATGTTGCACCTATGAAGACTCTTTGACCCCCTGGGTAGTTGAATAGGGGCCAGGAATGTTCGCCCTGACTATTTGCATGGTTTGGGGTGGAGCACCGAGCACCAGGTTTGGATGACGAAAAAGTGACCCTTGCCTTTTGGAGGGATTTAGGGAACTATGTTTGCCTCGCTTTGGAACTGCAGCAAAGATTGGGACTCTACATTCGTTCAACAAAAACAAGGGCTGTTCCCTGCACAAGTTGCATAGCTGGGGATCGGGGCCAGGCGTTTCAACCCCCCTCCGCTGCCGACCTTCGGGTTATGTGCGGAGACATGGAAGCTAGGGGAGTAGATGTTCTTTGCTCTGCCCACGCTGTCCATGTGTATGAATGGTTTGGAGGATCTGAACAATAAATCCTTGTGCTGGCCGCCCCTCCTTTTTGTCAAATTCTGTTTCTGGCAGTCCGATAAAAGCGGCGGCAGCAAGCCAATCTCTGTACCCAAAATTGGGGGAAACCCCAAACGGCCCAAACGTGACCCGTTTCCTTTGGCTTCCATTGCTTCCCTTGAAAAATAACTCCAAACAGCGTACAGCTCAAAAAAATGCACCAGGTACTCCAGAAGCGGCACCATCGCCAAACAAAATACGATTCCACAAAGAGTACCTCCTCAAGAGCCATGCCCTGGTCGTGGGCTTTCCTTCGGCTTCGCTTCGCAGGCCTGCGAAGAGCGGCGGGCCAAAAGTGCGCCATGGGCGGCTGCGAGGGCCAGGTGCTGCGGCTGCCAAGTGCGGGTGTTTCTGGACCCTCAACAGGATAGTTTGAGGTGCCACAAGATTTGGTTGAGTTAAACCAGGATCTCCTGTCCGGTTCGCTTTTTGAGAGGAAGCAACTGCTGCCAGCCCTTCTTAGTGGCCGATGTTGGTTTTCACGCATGGCCTTAGGTGGCCCACTAGAAATGGCAATATTTTTTTTGGATTCACCCTTATGCCATTACAAGGGTGCACCATTTTTCACTAGTCAACACTGCAAGAGGGCTTCTCCTTATGGTTATATATGCCTTGTGGGACAATGCAGGGACCCACAGACTTGCCGAACACCTCGTCAAAGGAGCAATTTGGGAAATCGGGAAAAGTCAACCCTTACATCTCACCATAGTTCTCAGAGATGGGTTTGAAGGTATGAGGCTAACTACAAATGCCTGTTTGTTCGGCACTACTGTGGATGGACAAAATCCATTTCGCACCACCCCAGATGGTTGAAACCATTGTTTGTTGGTAATTTACAGGGGATCTATATCATTCACGGGGGTTTCTGAGGTGCGAAATGGATTTCGTCCATCCACAGTATGTACCCCTATCAAGAAGGTATAGGCTCCGCTCCGAGGTGGTGGCCCTAGGCTTGGTGTGCTCCACGCGTCACGGGCTCAAGCGGGGGAGTAGTCGAACGGCGATCCGAAGCCAAACCGGTGGGGTGAAAGTATCTCCCCCATGGTTTAGTCATGGCCTTTCCCCACGAGTTGGAATTGTGCCATCGAATTTCACCAGGCTCGATGTTAGGGTCTTTTGCACAGAGGAGTGCGGGCCCGGATATCGATTCGAGGGTTGCCCACCGCAAAAAGAAATTTTGGGTACGGCGGGATTCAGCCTGGGGCCAAGATTGACAGGGGTTGGGTCAAAACAAATGGCATTGATAAGTCTGGATTGCCGTTTGACGTGTTACAGAAAAGTCAAAACAATAGTTTTAACCATCCAAACCCAAAGAAATGATCCTCAATTGTTTGGCAATTGGGGATCCCCAAATCAGGTTCGGACAGAACATGTTTTGTCTGTGGTCAATTTGGAAGGGACACGAGAGGGATTCACTGCCTTTGCCACATAAGCCAGGGGACTCCTTGTGTCCGTGATGGGAACAGCATAGTTTGACCGTGGCTAATATACAATGTGGTGGTTTTTGTTGGTGGTACGTTATGGAGCAGTGAAGGAAATGCAACCGCAGCCGATCAACCGGGTCCAACCAAGACAGGTTCTCTGCTTGCAGCCAGAGTTTGTTCTAGGTCCTAACCCTTAACAGCGGGATATTGCTCAAGTCGATGTGACTGTTCATTGTAAGGGTCCAAGGAATTGGTTCTCACAGAGTAAATGGGCCTTGGAGAGCCTTGGAGAGTCGCGCAGTCGTCTCCGGCTGGAGGTTCATGAGCTTTTTTTCGTTGCGGGGTCCATGTCCAATCAGCTGGCGAAGTGAGTGGTTCATGATCCACCCAAATGCCTATGGTCTTGGGGAAAAATCCCGCAGATTGCTTATAGGGAAGGCTCCCCATTTGGAGACAAACCTCACATGTGTCACCATCAAACCCCGGGTAAGTGAAGGTTAGTAAGGGACAATCCCAACCTTTACGTGGTTCTGGGTCGACCATTTTAATACCGGGTTTTGACTATGACTCACATAACCATTGGATTCTAAGCTCGCCTTAGGCGAGTTCGTGCAGAACCAGCCCTCCCATGCCACGGATGCCGCGCGCGCGGCGGTGGCTTGTGCGCTGGGGCCGCAGAAGCTAGCTTTCGGTGGACGGGTTCGTTACCCATTCGTCTGGCTTGGCTTGAGCCTAGAGCGGCTCTGGGAATGACCTCCAGGGATTTGTGCTTGGTACATTTCCCTATTTTATGATGGGCCACGGTTTCACGTGGACCAAGCTATTTGTCAACCTGGGGGCGGGGGGTTGGCTGAACCGCAAGCGGTTCCTTCGAAAAAGCCAAAAGTTTCCGCTACGGCGGTTCCGTGTGGAGTTTCTTCCTTCAGGCATCTGATTGTGATGCACGTGGTTTACAGAGACTCTTTTGAGGTTTCAAGTGGAAACCAACACGAAGCAACCCAATACTGGACGTCCAAATCCCATTTGGGGACAAGCCCATGTTGTTGGGTCTCCTTGCGTCAGTTTGATGTCGATCAGCTTCAGCTTGTCGGATTTTGGGCTGTCTCTTCCCGAAAGGCATGGAGTCATGGACTGACTTTGATAGCGGAGTTATTGCGTCACGCGTCTCTTTTTCGCAAAGACCCAGGTGCTTTCGGGAAGGTGATGCTAGGTGTATTGACCTCCTTGCCCAGGTCGGCGCTGACCGGGTGTCTGGACATGGGGCAGGCCAAAGGGGTGCCTCTGTGTATTTGGAACTTGGGAGGGACTCACATAGCCACCTGCGGGACTTCTCATGAAAGTTTCCTATGTACGGGCACCCCCGCGGAATCCATCCAGGAGAAGGAGTCGGGGGCTCATTTAGTGGTTGGGGGGGAACCTCTTTGCGGTGAATGAAGAGGCCAGAAGACGATGGCATCAACATTGGGAGGCACAAGAAGAAGCTTGGTTTACAGGTCGCATTAGGGCGGAAGTCCGGCTGCGAATGGTTGACTGCCCTGCTTGTTTCGCGATGCCCACTGAGCTATCCTGCCATGGCAGCTGGTTCAAGTCATGATCCATGTTTAGTTCCAAAGGTTTGAGCCGGGTTTCGTTTCAAGGCGGGGACTGGCGCATCTGAATGGGGTCCAGAGCACACATTTGCCATGCATGGAGGGACACACCGAATTTTGACACTTTGCCCCTTGTCACAGTAGGGAGAACTTCTAGATGTGGTCACCTTCACGATCAGCTTGGAACCAAGCTCGCAGTGAGACATATGATCATGGAAATCCATCGTAAAAAAAGCTTTGCAGCCAAAAGATTGGGCTTGCCCTGAGAAGAAGATCGCCCTCTCTGAAAGAGTTTTAGGTGATGTACAACTCCGGACTGAAAAGCGTTTCTGATTCAGGTTTGATCCATGTTCAGGGGATTCCTCGAAGGTCAGTACGGACTCCGACGTGGAAATCCCTAAGGGACAGACGCACCGAGCTGCGCCGGGCAGATTGTTGGGGGCGATGGCAGCCGAGAGGAACTGGAGGTGGGACCCGTTTGTTTGTTTTTTTTTGCGGGAAGGGTGGTGAAGCTGACCTGAGATGAATCAACTCCATAAACGCTTGCTTTTAGCATGGGTAAGCTTGAGAAAAACGGGGGGACGTGTGAATCCGTCTTTGTGGGAGCCCAGGAATGACAAGCCCCTGGGATACCTATGGGGAGCATCCCCGAAACACCAGCACCTGTTTGCCAACTGTTCGGGGTGGGAGTCTCTTCAAAGTGAAGCACCCGATATGTGTGATCCTTCCCATGGCCAATAGGTTGACCTCGTATGTCGCTTGAGAAGTTATCAAGTTGACGAAGCACCCTGAAGCTGTTGAGGTGGAGCCATCATTCTGAGGCGGCCAATAAGTTTTGAGAATCTTTCAACAGTACACTTGTTGCGCATTTGGGGAAGTAAACGGGCAGGTCTCTTCCTTGCCTCAAACCGGCTCACAAAATGAATCCTGTTTGAGACAACCTCACTCAGCGGACCCTTTGAATATCATTCGCCACGTGCGAGCTGAAGGATGCCAGCAGTTTGGGGGGAGTCAAGGAGCAGCCTTGAAGCGGGGTTCTTTCAAGGGTTCCCTTAGAAGTGTCACCCCACTGCTGCGAAATGACGATTTCCCCACTGACCAGCAAAAGTT